CTTTACACTGAGGGTGGTGAAACACTGGAAGGGGTTGCCCAGAGAGGTGGTGGAGGCCCCATCCCTGGGAACATTCCAGGCCAGGTTGGACGGGGCTGTGAGCAACCTGATGTGGTTAAAGGTGTCCCTGCTCCTGCAGGGGGGTTGGGCTGGGTGACCTTTAGGGGTCCCTTCCCACGCAAAACATTCTATGATTCTATGGTCAAAAGCAGAAATCTTCCTCTCAACCAAAAGCAGCTCTTCCATTCTGCTGGCCTTCTACTCTTTGTTTTTTTCTTATCCCAGCCTCTTCCTGTAGTTTCATTTTAGGATAAACGCTTCTCAGAATTTTCTTTTCTTGTGTTATTGAGCACTTACCCATCCCCTCCCTGTGAGGCTGAAGGACTCGAGCTTTGCAAATATCGGCTTGTGAGGACCTAATGCACCCAGTGGCCTCACAGTTTGTGTGTGTCTTTCCATCCAGACACCAGATTTATGCACTCTCCTGGCAAAGTAAAAGGATCTTAAAAACAGTAGAAAGAAACGTCTGCAGTAAGAAAAAGCCTCCTCCTTATTCCTGCCTTTTAATGGTGACTGTCTCTGTGGCACGTCCTTAGTCACAGGCACTAATGCACACAGGGATTGCAGGTGATGATAAAGAGATGGTGCTGCTGCATCCAGAATTTATGTAAAGCCTTTTATATCAAAGAACAACATTTTAGGCATCATCTTGTTTGTCTGGAGAGGTGCTCCCTAGTTGTTCTGCAGCAACTCAACAAAACGGTCCAGTGCTTTTACCAAAGTATATCTGATGACAGCAGGTTGCCCAGTTTTGGTGGTCGGATGAGATCTCGGAGAAGAGGCTTTGAGGATTTGCCACATCGTGTTTGGAGTAAGGGCCTGGAGCATTCACTCCAGATACCATAACACAGATGCAAACAGCTGTTTAGCTCGTAAGCCGGCGCTGCTGTCATCAGATGACAGAAAATAGCTTCGGCATCTTACTGATAAATCACTCCGCACCGCATCTTCACGGGGATTAGAGAGCCAATCTGTACAACCACATCTTCTGGCCTCTTAGCCCCTTCTTTCAGGGGCTAAAACCGTATCTTAAGCTAATAGAAAGTAATGGAAATTCTAACCTTTGCTCGGCGGTTTCTAAATACTTTAGCAGAGCTTTAACTGCTCCCTGCCCTGCCTTCCGTTGGGAGAACTTGCGTTGACTCCTAGTCAGGCCACAAACAGCTTCTAAAGAACCAAACCATCCTGTGCTGGAGCGGGTTTGTGCTCTGGATGAGTGCAGACTGCCTTAAGCCATCGGCTGAGGAACCGGGGGGTTCGCAACAGCGAGCGGGGGCTCGGAAACCCAGCCTGCTCCTGCTTGATAAATACGGAGATTCCGATGTGCCTGCCTGGGAGGGTTGGGAAGCCTTCAGTGCTATAAACACGGGCTGATCCCCTGGCAACAGCTGCCAGGCTACTGTTGGCAATCACGCGAGGGGTTCTGCCGTTAAAACACAAAGGGCTTTCTCCAGATGTGTGTGCTTTTAGACGAAGCTGTGCGGCGGCAACGCTACAGGAGGGCTGCCGAGCAAATCACCCTGCGTGTTTTGGGGTGGGGTTGCGTAACAGAAAAATGGGAAAACCAGTTCTCTGGGTGTCTGCTGGCTGGCATATTTTTGCTCGCTCTGCTGTGGCTTTCCTTGAGTCTTCTAAAGGTCAGGCTTCACCTCTGCTTGAGCCACCCCTGCCACTCGCACTGCTCCGAATGGCAAACCAGAAAGTCCAACGGCATTCCCTCCAGTGCACAGTCACCAATAGGACAACAGATTAAAGACATTCAAATGTATACTTTGTCTATAACATACTTTTCCTTTCTGAGGCAGAGTTTGCGTAGCTCAGTACTTTGTTGGACTCCGTTAATGCCGAGCACTGGAGTCGGTCCAGCACAGTGTGCGCTGTTAAATTTGCCAAGACTACATCAAATCACAAAACCTGGCAAAATTAGCATCCTAAATCCTCATAAGTCCTTCTGTTTCTTCAGTGAACAGAGGCAAATCCTTCTGCAAAGTTCTGAAGAGCAACTCGGAGGCCAAAGGCAGCTGCTGTGGCAGCCCCCGAGGGCCAACCAAAACTGCTCTGTGCAAAGGCGAGGTCTGCGCCAGCAAATGTACCCGCACCATAGAAGTGGGTCTGGAGAGAGGGGAGCACGCCTTTTCCATACCATGTGGACATCAGATCCTCAGTGCCCTCCATTACTGGTGGGGCAGGGCGAGTGCCCCCCCTGCTTCAGCTCCCTCCAGGCAGGATCCAGCTCAGGTTGCACCCAAGGGTTGAGCCGAAGCCAGCTGAGGGGGGGTGATCATGATATTCCTGTGAAAATCGCATGCCAGACGTGGCCAAAAGCACACCTGCAAACTCACCGGTGGCCATTAAAAAAGGCAGCAGTGACACTGCCAGAACACAGCTCACGCTGACCCAAATGACACTGAGGTATATAAATTCAAACATATTTTAAAAATGGGGAATAAGCAGATGATAGCATGAGGTAACAGCCAAATACAGAGATTTCTCTTAGAAGACTCCCTATAACTGGTTATGAATCCCTTGAACAGTTGTGCTTTGTCACTAAGCTGCAGCTACTGGTGAGCTGAGCCAGAGATTAATTGGGTGGAAAGGAAAGGGAACGAAAGGGAAGGGAATCTTGCATTCCTCTCTTCATCCCAAACCTCATAAGGTCCTACCTGTGTTCTCAGGAGCCTGGGAATGCTGGGATAAGTACGGAAAAGGAAAAACTCCATGGTTTGGAGTGTTTCTCAAAAATGCGGTTCTAACCAAATGGGAGTGCATCCATTGCCAGTTTTATGACTAAATGAACTGTTTTATGACTTTGAAGAATCACGATTTCTATAGAAGTCTCTCCTCCCTCGTGTTTTTGGTTTTATTAGACCATTAATTATCTCAGTGCGGTGAGAAGTGGCTAAAATGATGGGGCCTTGATTTTTTCAGGCAGCCACTGTGTGCTACCAAACTGGCAATAATAAAGGGTTTTGACACTTTCAGAGCCTCCCTCAAACATACATCGCTAAAGGGGCTATTTATGTAGCCTTAAATTCCTCTCTCTATATAGATTTTTCTGTCCTTCAGATGCAGGAGCAAAAACTAAGGTGGTTTTGGGTGGGTTCTTTTGGTGACTGCAGCTGGATGTACACAAAGAAAACTTTGGACACATCTACCAGCAGCACCCGAGATGCTGAAATCTCAGGATCTCATCTGTGAAGAGATCCAGGGAACCCATACAGCTCCTCACAATTAAAGCTACAAGGGAGGAAGAGTGAAAATCCAGCAGTAAGCCCTGTGGTTTCTTACATGGTAACTCCCCCACCGCCACCCCCAACCAAAAGAGATGAGAAAAGTTGATGGAAGGCGGAATTTGGCTTGGATTCAACCTCTCCCTGGGTTGGCCCGGCGTGGACGTGCCAAGGCGGTGTGAATGCTCTGGCACTCCTCCCCGGCGGTCACGGTGACCTTCAAGAACGTTCCCCGTATTTTCCTGTTGGCGCACAATGCCTCTGGTTAGCGCCGGTGCTCACGCAGAGCTGCTCAGGATCCTGCCCTTGCCTTACCTTCAACCTTCCTGGATTACCTCTCACGGCCAACCCACCCCACCTAATCTCTCTGGTCACACGGGGAACAGCAGGGAGTGGGAGGACGGCAGTGTTGCAACCTGCGGCACTGCAAATACCTTCAGCAAACGTTACACCCTCTAGGAAATATTGCCTAATGGTTGGAGAAGGGGAGAGGCTGGCAGTTGTGGAGTCAAAGGAGGCATTTCATTCACCGGAGACGTTAATAGGTGCTGCTTCCGTTTTCCGTCGCGTTCAGCGAAATGAGATGTTCCTTAGAGAAGGACCAGAGAAGACTGAACTATGGGTTTGCCCTGTGTTTTGAGATCCTAACACAGGCTATTTTAAATGCACTTTGGCCACCTATTTTCCTGCCCTTTTCTGTTTGAATCTCTTAGTGCTAAGCACGTAACGCAAAGCACGCTGCGGGTTTTCCTTCGGAGGAGGCGGGGAGCGGGAGGGGGCATTCGCCGCCTCTTCTACCCAGCCGCCTGTTCACGTGAAACCTGCAGGAACGGAGGAGGCCTCTAAAAACTTGAGCTTCGTAGAACCTGACCAATAGGTTTAGAAGTCCTTAGAGTAAGAAATGACAAAGTGACTGTGTGATCCTTATTATCTTGGAAAGCCAGGCTCCAAAAATAACACGCAATAGAAAAGAGCGTGTACTGCCAGCACGGGTGCAGATAGAGACAGCACGTGTTTAATTCAAGGTAGTTCTTCTGTCAAAGAGTTGCTGTGGCCTCGTTAGCTACTCGGGCAACTTTTGCGTCCGTGTTTTGGGAATCCAGCAGCGGGACAGCTTGCTGCTGCATTTGGTCTGTAGTTTAAGCATATACAGTTGGAATGTTTGATGTGGTGGGATGGCAGTGCGAGGTTAACGGTTGGACTTGATGATCTTAAAGGTCTTTTCCTACCTAGACAATTCTATAATTCTGTGATTCCATGTGAAAGGCCCATTTGCATTCCGTATTTCTGAAAGTCGTATGGGATCCGTACAAAACACAGGTATAACAAACCAGTCCCTCAACTGTAAAATATATCAAGATTTATATAAGAAATATATTTGCACTATAGAAGGTGCAATAATAAGGTTATAATTATTTTTCAAGGTTCTCATGGAATCCAAGCTACAAGAGCAAGGAGTGCTGTATCAAACAAAACCTGGTAAAAATTCAAATATTAAACCACAGAAAGTTCCTTTAAAAAAAAATAAATGTTCCACATTGTTCCTTATGCAGAACCTTGAAGGAAGCAACTGAGCCGTGCTGTTCCACAGCCAGGAAAACAACGGAGCGGAGCGCTCACGTCGCACGTCAACGCACGCTGCAGGTAGGGAAGACAGCGGGTCTCGGAGGGTCTGAATTTTTCTCGGTTTTTGTGACCACCTAATGGATTTATTTTGCAAAACATACTGTGGAAGGAAGCGAGCTACATAAACACGTGGCAATATTGTCTTGCTGAAGAAAACAATCTTTGCTTTGCTGCAGGAACGTTACGCTTTTTGATGCCTCTCTCTATAAATAGATGCAATTTGAGGACAGAAAATTCCCGTGTCAGTGGCTTATGAGGGACGCCTTAGCAGCTCCTGCTCCCGATCGTCCCTGCGTTCAGGTGAGCAGCGCTGTTCCTTCCAAAAGCCACTGAGCCAAAACCAGCGCCCGGGGCTGGGCTCAGCACAGCCGGGGCTGGCTACCAGCTTCAGCCCTGAGGCGACCGCACGGAGGGGAGGTTCCACCACGGGCTGTCCGTGGGAGAGCGGCGCTATCGAGACGATCTCTTTCATTCAAAGATTTTTGAGGAGTGACTCATGTGCTGGTGGTGCATATGGGCCAAGTGCCCTTTTCCATAGCTGACCGGAGGGTCGGAACAGCCCGTCTCTCACAAAACAATGTTCTAATCGTGTTTGCAGGCTGCTTCTCCCCAGCCTCCTGCACGTACAAACAGAATAATTCCCAAAGTCCCCCTGGAGCTGAGATGAGGCCAATTCCAATGCCTTTTTTTTTTTTTTCCCCCCCTGGCTTGGCATTGCTATTTTCCAACAGTAGCAGTGGGGTTTTTTTACAGAATGTTTTTACAGGGGCTTACAGCACCATCTGGGAGGGAGAAGCCCAGCGTGTGGAAGCAGCCGGGGGGGGCTATGCCCGGTCATGTACACGTATTTTCTTGAGCGTGCAGAACGGCTGTAGGGGTCAGAAAGTGCGATCTCCCCTTGCTCCTGCAAGAACGCCACCATAAGAGACAGGGGAAACTCATATGCTCTTCTAGACATTCATTTTCTCACCTGTACGATGGAAAAAACAATATCTACGTGTTGTGGACTTCAACAATAACAGGTTAATTATAAATGTCTTTGATATGTTTATTAAACAAGGCATCCTTGGGCCTCCCAGTCGTGAGCTGTGTGGTCCCCACCCGGAATGAAGCCGCAGCCGTGGATTGTGTAGGCTGTGTGTCAGTACCGGGGGGAGTGATGGGAGGCAGTGCAACACGTATCGGCTTTTCCGAAGCAGCGTGTCAGTCTGGCCCTGCCTCTCCCTGCGCAGCAGGCAGGCTGCAGACACAGGGAAATTAATGATTAAGCCCCAATTCTGAAACGAAGCCATGGAATCAGGAGGAGACGAACCCTCTAGATTCAAACGTGAAATCCAAGGGGTTTGGCTGGCTGCTGTCACAGTTTTGCACTGAGGCCACTCAAACCCACCCTGCAACTGTGGCGGGTCCAGCCCCAGTGCCCATTTCATGTTACCTATCACAGAAACCCTGCGTGTGCAAGGGGACTGATCCGTCCCCCTGCCACAAGGGCTTCTTGCAGCAGAATGAGAAAGCAGAGGAACCGAGACGCTCAGCCAAATCCCAGTTTACACCTACATACCTGTGATCAAGAGCTGAATCCTCTGCACCATGATTTCACCAAATGAGTTTCTCGCTACAGGACCAGTTTTCAGCATTGCTGAGCACCTCCAACCCTGCTTGAAATCAACAGAAAGACGGGAGCTCACCACTTCATGAGAGCAAGAGTTGTGAGGGGCAAGACTCTGTCAGTCACAGAAAAGGGGATTCCAAGGGTTTCATCTGGCTTTGTATCAATATTTTGAGGAAATTGGGAATATTTCCTAGAAAATGCACTCCCTTTTCACCTGCCTCTGTTGCTTTGTGGATGCTGCTTTGGCTTTGTGCTGAGCCGCTTCTGATGTTTCGTTCTTCTGCTTTGTCCTGATTTGGAGCTGCGACCCAAGCAGCGGCAAGGCGCTGGCATAGCATTGGGTGCAGCCAGCCCAGCTTAAGCAAAACCCAAACCCACTGTCTCAGGTGTGGCAGTGGGAAAAAGAAAGGTGAGGAAGAAGTAAAGCGAACAGCCATTGTACATGGTCCTTCTCACTTGCCCAGGTTTCCCACTGCTGTGTTCCAAACCCAGTAGCGATAGTTATGTGGGAATCAGCTGCCCTGGCTGGTGTTCCCTGGTAGATCCGCAGAGGCTCGTATTGCTGGGTGGCACCCTCCTAGCCCATCACTGAGTGCTTCGGTCCAGGAGTCACACAGGTAGTCAGTCCTCTGTCCAAATTGTGGCTTCCAGCAAGCTCCCACCCCTCCTCGCCATAAGCATGGACTTTGTGACCAGTCCCCCCCCCCTTATTCCCACCAGCAATTAACCAAAGTGCTCTCCTCTTCCAAAAACAGACCAAGGGCTTCACCTGAGCGTGTTCCAGCCCTTTACCTCCCGACCCCTCATTAGCTGTCATCCACCAGCAAGAGCACAGGACCTGCCTGTAGAGACCAGCCCTGAGGCCAGTCCAGCCTTGGACCTCACCCCCGACGGTGGACAGAGCTGTGGCGGATGGGGTGCTGCAGGCTGCAGGCCACGAAGGTGGGAGAGGCTGGCGAAGCTGGGGCAGAGCTGAGCTGTGTCCTGTGCCCTGCTCTGCTTTTTTCTGGTGGAGCTGGACCATGCTGCAGCCAGGACGTCTACTCTCTTGAGAGAAAAAAAAAGAGAATATGTGGGAAAAGGTGTTGGAAAATCGTCACATTCCCTGCCTGCTTTTGCCTTTGTTTTACTGTGATGTTTCTAAAAATGCTCCCTCCTTGTTTGAACTCCTGCCCTTCCCTCCTGTTCCCTGGCTTTTCCCATTGAGGTAAGGAAGTGACCTCCTCTTGACACAGCATCCAAGGTAGATCCTGTGACTGACCCTGGTCCTTGACAGAAGACTTGCCAGGCTCTTTGTTTCTGGGTGGACTGTGAGGATCCCGTGGCATTTTATTCTGGCATTTTTTCCAGGGGATTGGATCTGCGGCTGGCCGTGCCGGAGGCATCCCTGCTGCTGCAGGTGCATCGCTGCAGGTGGCACATGAAATGCTGAGCTTTCTCAAGAGCGCTGGCCTCCACCGCTGAGTTGTCTCCACACAACAGATGATGGCTTTGCGAAGAAGACAGCAGACGCCCATTTCCAGTGCAAGCGGAGCGGGCTTTGGTGAGTGCAGAATGCTGCTGCAGAACCTCTGCCTTTGGTGGCGATGGGAAAGCAGAGACTGGGCTGTCAGGTGGCACATGAAATGCTGAGCTTTCTCAAGAGCGCTGGCCTCCACCGCTGAGTTGTCTCCACACAACAGATGATGGCTTTGCGAAGAAGACAGCAGACGCCCATTTCCAGTGCAAGCGGAGCGGGCTTTGGTGAGTGCAGAATGCTGCTGCAGAACCTCTGCCTTTGGTGGCGATGGGAAAGCAGAGACTGGGCTGTGTGTAAGCCCTGTTAATGCGTGGTTTGCACTAACAAAGGCA